TATGCGTGACTGTGTGTGCATCTCTGCACATTCATTCATTGATTGATTGATTTCTCAAAAAATGATTGATTGATTTCTCAAAAATGTTTTGTCTATTTAGATGTGTGTTTATTGGCAAATATTTCAGGGGTTGTCTTCCTGACAGTGTTTCCTTCTGCTATACTGTTGCCTGCTTTTGGAATGAACAGATTCTCTGCTGTCTGCAGAGCTTTTTGTTAAGGGTTTTTTAAGAGTTTGGATTGATTCTCCGTTGCCTGCTTTGTTGTATTTTGATAGATTATTTAGGGCTTTAGATTCATTACAACTAGGATCTGCCATCTTGGAGTACTTTTAAAGAGTTGTTTAGGGATTTAAATTAACTCTCTGTTATCTGCTTTACCCAAGCTATTATTGAGTTATTAAAGGAAAAATGAAAAACATTTGGTCTCTTTTATGCTTAAGGAAAGGACCAGTGAATGAAGGACATGAAAAAGAAAGCGGAGCTTATTGAAAAACACATAATTAAACAAACATGAATATTCTTCCTGTTTACCTTTTTAGTGGTTGTAGCAGTTCCTGAAATGAATGAAGAAGTGATTCTTTGAGAAGTCAGGTAATACAATTCTATTTCAGCTAAACATTTACATTTTTTTTAAATCTCAGTACATGATATTTCAAGAGACTGATCAACTCACTTGCATGTAAAATAGTTGCCTGGGACAGCTCTTGGTGAGGGGAAAAGAGGGGCCACAGCAGTGTCTAGGGAGGGCAGCATGGCCAAACAGGCTTCATCAGTGGCTCCTGCTGGTCCAGACTTGGGCTCGTTTGACAAGCAACGGAGGGGTGCCCCAGGCTAGTTGAAGAGAGGGGGAGAGAAATGTGTGTGAGGGTGTGTTTCTGTCCATGATTGTGTGTGTGTGCAAGTTTCCATTGATTGATGGATGGATTTTCTTAAAGGTTTTTTGTAATTAATTGTGCATTTATTATGTTAAAGGTTGAAATGTTGATCATTAACTTTCTAATGTTTTTCATTCTTCTATACTGTTGGCTTCTTTTACAATGCTTTTAGAAGTGTTTCTGTCCATGATTGTGTGTGTGTGCAAGTTTCCATTGATTGATGGATGGATTTTCTTAAAGGTTTTTTGTAATTAATTGTGCATTTATTATGTTAAAGGTTGAAATGTTGATCATTAACTTTCTAATGTTTTTCATTCTTCTATACTGTTGGCTTCTTTTACAATGCTTTTAGAATATTTAAGAGAGATTATGCCACTCAGTTGCCTGAAAAACTGAATAGTTCATGCCAGTCACTACACAACATGTTTGGTAGCTGTTTCTAGTGATTATGATACTTTCCCTTCTCATGCTTTATTCCTAGTGACCACATTCTTCCACCTGGAAACAATCCTGTCTCCTTACCAAATGCTTTCTTGTGTTCAGTTCAGGCCTCAAGATTATAATATACAATTTGGGGAAGAAGAGACAACCTAGTAATCCTGCACCAGAGGCCAAGATGGAGAAGATCTCCACGGCCACCATATATTTCCCTTTGGTGCTCAAGTAGGTGGGCACAAACGATATCCACACACTGCAGAAAACTAACATGCTGAAAGTGATCAACTTGGCTTCATTGAAAGTATCAGGCAAATTCCTGGCAGAGAAAGCCACTAGGAAGCTGATGACAGCCAAAAGGCCCATGTAGCCCAGGACAATGTAGAACATGAGAGGTGAGCCATCGTTGCATTCAAGAAGGATTTCATCTATCTGGGAGTGCATGTCCAACTCTAGAAAGGGATGAGCCATTGCTAACCATACACCGCAGATGCCCACTTGAAGGAAAGAAGAGGGAACGATGACTAAGACAGCAAGTCTCTTCCCAATCCAACTCCTTGCTCTATTCCCTGGCTTGGTGGCCATGAAGGCCAACACCACAGTGATGGTTTTGGCCAAGATGCAAGCAACAGCAAGAGTGAAAATGATGCCAAACACCATTTGCCTCAGAAGGCAAGTTACTTTCCCCGGCCACCCAATTAAGAGGAGGGGGCAGAGAAAACAGATGAGAAGAGAAGAGAGCAGAGTACAGGTGATGCTCCAGTTATTTGCTTTGACAATGGGAGTATCACGATGCTGAATGAATGTCCACATCATCATAGCTGTGCCCGTGGAAAGGAAAAGAGATGCAAAAGCGAGAGCTGCTCCCAAGGGTTCTCCATAGGATAAGTAGATCAACTTTTTAGGAAGACATTGGTTGTGATTTTCATTGGGATACTTATCTTCTGGGCACTCTTGGCATTGCTCTGCATCTGAAAGTGAGAAGAAAAGTATTAGAAGTCTGGGAGTAAACAAATCTGTTGTGTGTATTCAGCTGCCATCCTGCCATTACTTTACTACAAAAACAGTTATCACTGTGCAGATACAGGCTTCTTTATTGTCAATGTTCCCTGCTTCGAAAGCCCACTCTTTGTGTTGATGTATGAAGTCTTTTGCGTGCACAGAAAAATGATAGGAACTAATATAAATTCCAAGTAGGTGGGGCTCGTCAGCCTTGGAAGGCAGCCCATTTAGGAGAAGGAAAACTTTGATTTCAAACCTCCACTGCCTTGTGGCTATATCCACTGATGGAAAAAGCTTCAGGAGTTAACCTCGAAGCAAAATCTAGAGCTGGAGTCTGGGAGTCAGTTTGTGTCATTCTGCCAACTCCTGCAATGTCGCTGAAACCAGTTGTGTTGGCTCTTGCCTTTCCATTTCAGCGACGTGGAGAGGGGGGATTTGCTGCTTGGGTAACAGCCTATCCATATTATTTTACCCAGGCTTCGTGCTCTGGAGAGGACACTCCAGTTTTGTATAAGGGATGGTCACTCTCGAATTGGCCTTTTCAGCCACTAGATGCTGTTCCAAGTCCTCCATACAGAGCATGTTACCATAGTCTCTTGAGACTGAAGAATGCTTATGATGAATATAAATTGGAATGTTACATTATTTGGCTATGGAGAAAAAACCTTCACTTACCGCTCTGGATTGAAATCTTCCCTGCGGGGCACTGAACACAATCATAGCAACACACTTGCTTCTCTGGCTGGATGAACATGCTCTGTCCGGAATGGCAACTCTCGACACAGGTGGATCTGGGTGGCATCTAATGATAATCATAAGGAAAGGCATTTTGAATGTAATTGCTTGGGGATGATAAATGTATTGTATTGTTCCTCAGCTTTCAAGAAAGGAGATATGCCAGTACTTGCTGTCATGACAATAGTAATATGCTGTGTCCTATATGTAATTTATGGTGGAAGGAAGGAAGGAAGGAAGGAAGGAAGGAAGGTACGTACGTACGTACGTACGTACGTACGTACGTACGTACGTACGTACGTACGTACGTACGTACATACGAATGAACGAACGAACGAACGAACGAACGAACGGAGCAGGGTGGATGGGTGGGTAGGTTTTGGAAACTTTTGAAATTGGAGTTACACTTCATTGCTTTTCTCCTCAAATTATTGGTACCGTAGCAACCTAAGGTTTTATTGGTTGATATTTGAAGTGTCGACAAAATTTGTTGGCTAATGCAATGACAGGTTGGAGTGCCGTTACTCTTGTTTTCATGACTAAGGTAGGTGTAATGCTGGGAGCGATAACAGGCCAGTTCAGACCATGACTAATTCCTAGCAGCCCTTTCCCTCTGCTAGTACTCCTTTCCCCACCTTCCATCATGCAGCAAAAGAGTCCTGGTTGCATTTGGCTCTCTGCTCTTTAGAAGCTGTTACTGAATTCCAGGACAGGCAGGAGAAAATTAATTAATTAGTTTGAAATATTTCTTCCCTCCCCCATGAGTGGGTTACAGAGTAGAGTGGCACCCTGCATAGCAATGTTAATCCATTCCAGGATTAACGTCGCTATCTGGATTCTTCACAATGGGGGGGGGAACCTATTGGGGAAAAATTCACCGGTAAGCGAAGAACACTCCATCCGGCCGCCATTTTCTCCGCCTCGGTAACCGAGGCGCGAAAACGCTGTGGGCGGTCATTTTCCCCCAGCTGGGCGGCGCTGGTTACGGAGCGCCCACCGGGGAAGCCCCCACCGCAGTTGCTCCAAAGCCTTCTCCCCCCAGCTGGGCGGCACTGGCTTCGGAGCGCCCGCCGGGGAAGCCTCCACCGCGGTCGCTCCGAAGTGCCCGCCGGTCAGCTGGGGGGAAATGGGGCCTATGGGGAAAAATCGCAAAGTGATTTTTCCCCGTAGGAAACATCGCAATGCGATCACTTTTGCGATCACAAAATCCACATCGCTATGCGGATTCGTCGTTAAACGGGGTGCTCCTTATACGAGGCACCACTGTATTTAAAATAGAATTTTAAATGAAGTGGTTCAAAACCGCAACATATTATAAAATTAAATCATTAAAATTATAGTGTCAAATTCTGTACAAGCCAAGACCTTCAAACTCAAAGACCCTCAGAAATAAGCATGAAGTGACCTGGTGCCAAAATAATGTAATATCGCCACCAAACCACAGTTCGGGTGCTGCAACCGAAAAAAAGCAGTCTCCACATACTGAAGAGTTCTCAGTGGAGGGAAATGAAGGAGGGTCTCCCCAGGATATCTTAGTAACTGGGCAGGTTTAAACACACACACACACACACAGAGAGAGAGAGAGAGAGATGTTCCTTCAAATACCAAGGTCACAAGCCATTTAGCGCTTTGTAGAACATGGTCATCACTCAGCACTCAGTAGAACTTTTCTCTCTCTCAGTATTAACTCTAAAAGTCTATTCATGTCAGTGAGGAAATGGAGTCTACATATTTGGAAATTTATTAGAAAAAGCCCATCCTGTCAGATTGAGTGTGTGTGTCAGAATGTTTGTGAGTTTCTGAAGAAGTTATTGTGAGTTTGAAATATAGGAAGAATATATTTACATGTTATTCTTGATCCTACCATTACCTTCCTACCTCTTACCTACAGTCCCTCAAACACCTTAATTTTTAATAGTTTGAACCAAACACTGAATCTGGAATTGGAAAAAAAATGGATTTGTTTTCAACTAAAAAAAAAAACAAAACGAGATTTCTTTAATGCAGAAGAAGAACAATAAAAAAATTTAAAAGAAATATTTGGCCAACTTTAAGTCTGACAGCTTTATTCCAGAGCAAATTTCCACTGATTACGTTTTTCATTATTTATATTGAAAATATTTTAGCTCCCCTTTCTCCTTTAAAAGGACACAAGGCGCCTTGCACCATTAAAAGGCAATATTTAAAAGCTTAAAACAGTAAGTATGGAAATAGTTTTAAAGATTTTTTTTTAAAATTATAAATAAAAAAGGTAAACAAAATCAACTCCAAAAAGAGATTCAACAGTTGTCTTCCAGATGTGCTCCAGGTCTGAAAAAGATTCATGAGGAAATTTGTCTCCACCAAAATTCATGCTCCTATCATTTTCTGCTTAAATATAAAAATTTTTAGAACCAATGCCAAATATACTCATGAAAGATGAAGAAAATATTGATAGACACACCCACCTGATTAAACACCTGATTCCATACAATGGTGCTTCCATTAATAACGAACTCTTTGCCTGCAGGTGCCTTGGGGTCAATTTGTCCGACCTGGACTTTGTGGAAGGAATCATTGGGTGATATGTAAAAATTGATAATATCAAAACCGGCAACCAGTTCCCCTTTCTCATCCAGGAATATTTCTTCTCCAGCGTTATTGTTAAAGCGGAGAGTTTTCAACACAGAGTGAAGCTGGATTGGAGGAAAAAATTCATTCAATTATTCCTATACCCAACATACGCTCTAGATCAGGCTTGTCCAACGCGTGGCCCCCAGGCCGCATGTGGCCTGGGTCACCTCGTAATGCGGCCCAGCGGCTCCCCTGAATCTCTCCTCTGCCCCCCTCGCTCGCCCGTCTTTCCTGTCCGTTGTGAGCGAGAGAGGGGGAGAGAGAGAGAGAAAGAGCCGGCTAGCTAGCTGGCTAGCTCGAGCTGATGAGGAAGAGGGTGGAGGCATGTGAGGAGACAGAGACTGCCTCGCCCCTTCCTTCAGTTGGTTGCAGCCGCTGACAGGGTGTCTTCCTCCTCCCTTGTGTCGCTTTGCCTGCCTGCGAGTCGCTGCCCCAGCCAACACTGCTTATCTAGGCAGTTAGGGACTTAATTCTTCATATTTCTCGCCACCACCCCACCCGCAAGGGAATCGTTTTCCCCCTTGCTTTTTTCTGAACCGGCGCAGATACCCCTCGTTCCTCGCTTTGGCCGCCATGAACGCCAGTTGCGCCCGACCAAAAAGGTGAACTGCCTCGACAAGTTAAGGGAAGAAGGCGGGCGAAGCGTTTGAGGCAGTGACGGAGTAGAACTGGAGAGGGAGGAGGTCAAGAAGGCGAGAAAGTGGGGAGGGTGCATGGAAAGGAAAGAGGCGGTTCTCGGGGCTGAAGAGGGGGAGAGGAGGACCGGGGGGATGCGTGACGGGGGCGGTTGATGAAGCAGGAAGCTGATCACCAGGGGCAAAACAAGGGAGTGGAGTTGTGGTCATGGTAATGGTGGACAGGGGGGAGGAGGTGGATACAGGAACAAGGGTTAGTAGGTATGTGACCTAAAGGCAAAGGCCGCGGCAAGAGAGGGAGGCGGACAGATGGGTGAGTTGTAGGAGGAATGCAGGCCCCCAAAGAGAGGACTTACTGGAAGGAAAGTCCAAGATGTGGGTGGGGAGGAAGGAAAGTATGTAGATGGCACAGAGGGGAGAAAGGGGGAGGCATTGGAGAGTGATTAGGAGGGATCAGGGAGTGGAATGGGAGGTAAGGCGCAGAGCACCTACATTTGTGAGCAGCTATTTTCAAGGATGAAGCACACAAAGAATAAAACTAGAACCAAAATATCTGATGAGCACCTGGAGCACTCACTGAGAATTGCAACAAATTCCATCAAACCAAATATGGATGCATTGGTGGCTGAGAAACAATGTCAAACATCTCACTAATTGCATTTCCAAATAAATTTAATATGTTTTCTATGTTTTTTTGTTTTTTTGGATGATCAGGTATCGTACTGTTATTTTATTTTATGTGCAGCCCAAACCAAATTTTCATCTTCTAATGTGGCCCAGGGAAGGTGAAAAGTTGGACACCCCTGCTCTAGATACTGTTTTCAACATGTATCCTGCTCCTTCTTCTCCTTGTCTGAAGGCTAGTGAGAGAAAATAGATTCTTTCTCAAACACGGGGAAATGTTCCAGCCAAAACACAAGGGAATGTGTTCTGAAATAGTGAGAAAGGCTCCCTTTATCTTCTGCAGCAGGCAGAAAATGTCATAGAATCAAAGAAAAGTGAAGTTGAAAGGGGCCTACAAGGCCATCAAGTCCAACTCGCTGCTAGATGCAGGAATACGATCAAAGCATATCTGCCAGGTGATTATCTCAGTTTTTCTTGGATGACTCCAGTGTTGGAGCACTCATCAACACCCGAGGTAACTGGTTCCACTGTCATACTGCTCTAGCTTCCTTTAACTTGGCCCCATTGTTGTATGTCCTGCACTCTGGGATGATCGAGAACAGATCTTGCCCCTCCTCTGTAAAGACAGCCTTTCAAGTATATGAAAAATGCTAACCTATCACACCTCTGTCTTCTTTTCTCAAGGCTAAACATGCCCAGTTCTTTCAGCCTTTCCTCATAAGGCTTTGTTTTCAGCCCTCTGATAATCCTTATCGCCCTCCTCTGAACTTGTTCCAATTTGTTAGCACCCTTCTTGAAGTGTAGTTTCCAGAACAGGAGAGATTCAAATTGAGGCCTAACCAGTTCTGAATAGAGGGGGACTAGTAACTCACAGGATTTGGAAACTATACTTCATTAATGAAGCTAAAATAGCATTTGCTTTCTTTATAGCCACATCTCACTGTTGGCTCATATTTAGCTTGTAATCCACAACAATTCCAAGATCCTTCTCACTCGTAGTTTTGTTGAGTCAAGTATTCCCCATCTTGTAACCGTGCAATTGGTTTCTTTTTCTGAGTTGCAGGACTTTGCACTTATCCCTGTTGAATTTCATTCTGTTGCTTTCGGCCCAGCGCTCCATCCTATCAAGCTCATTTTGAATTTGGTTTCTGTCATCTAGGGTATTAGCTATTCTCCCCTATTCGGTATCATCTGCAGATCTGACAAATATTCCCTGCACATCCTCATCCAAGTCATAAATAAAAAATATTGAAGAGGACAAGTCCCAGGACTAAGCCGCGGGTTACCCCACTTGTGACCTCCTCCCTGTTAGAGAAGGACCTATTAATCATCAACGTCTGAGTAGAATTCTGTAACCAATGGTTTATCCACCTGACACTTGATCTAGCCTCCCCACATCTAGTTAGCTTGCTTATCAGGATATCATGGGGCACTTTCTCAAAAACTATGCTGAAATCAAGGTATACTACGTCTACAGCATTCCCTCTGTCTATCAGGGAGGTGACCTAATCAAAAAACAAGATCAAATCAGTTTGGCAGGATTTGTTCTTGATGCCCATGAACTTTAATTCATTCCTGGATGAATGAAATGGCCAAATACTGGCATCCCTCGGCATGATGGAAAAGCAGAGAAATAAAGCAGAAAGAAGAAAGAGCAAAGTGTGCTGCTTATATAACCCCCAGCAATTAAAGCACTCTCTGGACGGTTTACAAGTTAATTACACAGGTTATGCATATCCCCCCCATGCGACCTGGTTACTCATTTGACCGACCTCAGAAGGATAGAAGGCTGAGTCAACCTTGAACTGGCTACCTGTGGTTGAACTCTAGGTGGTGAGCACAGTTTTGGCTGCAGTGCAGGAGATGAACCGCTGCACCAAGAGGCTCCAAAGAATGGAATGAGTTGGGAATAGACCTGCACTGGGGATCTCATCTTTTCCACTGAGCAGTGATAGAACACAGTTTCAGAAAATTTAAGATAGAATTGGACAAATTCACAAAAGACATGCCCAGTTCTGGCTTCCTCTCTCACATCATTCTCGAATTTTTCCTGTTTCCCCAAAAATAAGACCTAACCTGAAAATAAGCCCTAATAGTATTTTTCAGTATGCTCGTCATATAAGCCCTACACCAAAAATAAGCCCCAGTTAAATTAAGCCCCACCCTCCACCCTTTTGCAGCAACTAGAAGATGACATGACAGTATCTAAATAAAGGTAGATGGTTGTACATTAAAAAAAATAATAAAACATCCCCTAAAAATTAGCCTTAATGCAATTTTGGAGCAAAAATTAATATAAGACCCTGTCTTATTTTTGGGGAAACACAGTAGGTGAGACCTGAGTACCGTATTCTGCCTCTGACACTGGAGGGCCTAACAGTTTGTGCTTTGCCCTGTTGTGGGTTTGTTCTGGATTTGGCTTTTTGACCTGCCATGGATAAATGTTCGGAGGATCCTGTTGGTCTTCATCTCTCTTTCCTTTCCGTTTGGCTCTCAATGAATAGATGGCATCCAGGGCATGTGCTACAAAATAAACAGCATTGTAGACGCCATAACTGTGGCCAGACATGCCCATTTCAAACAAAGATCCAGGAAGATTTGCAAACTTCTCTTGCCCATTGCAGTTCTTTCCACCTGGATACTGCAGACCATGCAGTGGAAGTGAGCAGGCAAATAGTGTGCACCAGAACTGATGAATGAAATATAGGTTTGAGTGAAATGGATCAATGTTCTCAAGGAAGTCCTCAAATCCTGGCACCACGTTGGTATGGAGGGCAAATGACAAGGTGCCATTGAACGTCTTTGAGGCCAGTTTTATCCCCGCTGTTAATGCCGTATAATCCCACTGAGCTGTCGTGACCCACACCTTCCTTTGTGGCTTCATCACACGAAATTCATAGAACTCTAAAACAACTCGTAATGCCTCCAGAGACTGTCTGTCTCCGTGCACAAGCATCACATTGATTTCAGTCCGTAATAACGCCCAAACAATGGGTCGCAATCTTCTGTTCTGTATTTCCCCAGGTATATATTCGGAGGATATTGGAATCACTATTGTCTCAGCAATGCAAATACGGCTCTGCAAGAGCTTTGGTCTCAAGGTCTGAAGGAAGGTTTCTCCAGTGTCATCGTCAGAAACAACGAGGCCGATCCAGTTCCATCCAAAGTGCTCCAGGAGCAGAACAATCCCCGTGTACTGGGGATCTTCACTGGGGATCATCCGGTAGAGAAAAGGGAACTGAATCTTGTCGCTCAGTCTCGAGTCAAAGGCCCCATAGCTGATCTAACAGAAAAAGAACAATACATTTTAAAATAAGAATCTTATAGCTCTGCGTTTTATAAATCTGGCTGGGGAGCTAAAGGTTGAGAGTTAGATTGCCACTGTGCCTCCCTCGGAGGGTCTGCAGGACTCAGTGATCTATTGGGTCCCTTTCAATTCTGTAGTTCTAAGAGGATGGTGACAATATCTCTTCACTACAAAATCATCATGAGCAGATGTTTCTTGTTATATGCTGTCACGATACTTCCAGATGACGGAGTTCTCAGTAGAATTTTCAAAGAAGGTGAATGGAATAATTTACCAGGACCACTGATTTTTCATGGGCAAACAAACTTGTGAAAGTTTGTTTGACTCTCTATTAGCTCCACTCCACTCCACTACTACTATTATGATTGGCTCCCAATGTTTACCACGGTTTCATTCTTTACCCCAAAGTTTGTTGTTCTTATAAGGAGCCATCTTATAGGACTTTCAAGGTAAGGGAGATATTTAAGAAATGATTTTATTAATTCTATACGTCCAAGTGAGTTTCCATGGCTGAGTGAGGATTTGAACCCAAACCTCATGAATCCTACTCCATCACTCAACCCACTACACCACAAGGGGTCTGCTTAAAGAATAACAATAATTTGCCCCCAAATCAATTCTGATTTATTAAAAACTTTTTAGGCTTTCAAAGCAGAGAATATTAAGAAGGGTTCCCTTCTTCTAGGAGCTCCCAGGAGAGGGGGTTCTACTCTCAGGAGGCACTGTTGAGAATCAAACTCCCAAACTTTGATCTGATGCCGAAATCACCCAGCTGTCCAGCCAGTATGTTTACCACAGTTTCATTCCTGATTCCTCTCAATCTTCCACGTTCACGTGGCCAGTGCGACTGGACACGGAATGCTGTTACCTTCTCACCATAGGAGTACCGATTTATCTACTCGCATTTCCATGCTTTCGAACTGCTAGGTAGGCAGGAGCTGGGACAAGTGACAGCTCACTCCGTCGCGTAGATTCAGTCTTACGACTGCAAGTCTTCTGACCTTGCAGCACAGAGGATTCTGCGGTTTACCCCACAGCACCACCACGTCCCTGGTGACATCTACTTAGCTCTTAAACCATACCTGTGGTATAGTGTAGACATTTAAAATGTGGGCCATCTGCATGGAAGTTCGGGAGGTGAGACCACCAATGACAGCCAGGGCTTTCTCTGTCATGCCACAGTTGTAATTGAGGGGTTTTCCTTTCGCCGCGTACAAAAACTCCACAGTGGTCCAACAGGTTCTCCAAGCATCAAAAGCATTGTCATAAATCTTGTAACCCAGTGTGGTATTTGGTAGCAGTTGAGCGTTCTTGTTGATCTCATGGAGAGCAAAAGCAAAGGCCATGATGTGCTGGTAGTTTTTAGGCATCAGACTGCAATTGTTTAAATTTAGGACCATATGGAAAAATAAAAGAATATCTGCTCTTTATTTTGTTATGTTACAAAGCATCTTTGGGTTCACTATGTATTTTTGAATAAAAAGAAAATGATAAAGATCTACTTACTAAGCAGTTCTGGAAGATTGTGGGTGTCTCACAAAGGTCTCCATGTTGAAGTTAGCAACAGTAACAGATACAAATTCACCAATGATAACGTCTTCTGAAGGATCATCTGAAGGCTTCTGGGTTTCTGTCCTCCATTCACACATGGTGGAGCTCAAACTGTGACAGGAGCACCAGTGCTGAAGGAGGAGAAGCAGCACCAACAAAACCAGTGGATGGCTTAGCAAATATTCAGCGAAGTCCATGTTGGGCCCCAGAGATGATCTCCTCCACTCCCCACCACAAACCTCTATCTGTTCTGGTGGAAGGCACAGGAAACCTGGGATTGACAGAGTGCCTTCACCTCAGAATTCTGAGATAGAAATAGTCCATGTTGTTTGGGAAGGAGCCTTTATAGAGTGAGGTAAATATTTTGAAGTGGAAACAGGGTGTTTTTGATCTTTTTTTAAAAAAAACCAACCTCATAGGCTTCTGTTTTTCCATGGAGGATTTGATGAGCAGCATCACGAAACAGCAAATTTAATTGCTGGGAAGATAATCAAGACTCATAATATGTGTTGGTGTTTTTTGTATCTGACAGTAGAGCCTGCATTATTTTGGAGTTTGGAAAGTTTGTAAGAAACTGCAGAGGGAGAAAGGAGCCTCCCAACAATTCATTTGCTGAATTCAACAAGACTTGTTCCAAGTGGAAGAAGGAGGCTGGGTCTGTGTTTGTATCCTGCTCAAGCTCCTAGACAATTACTTTCAGCTGAGTCAGGCCACTGGTTGATCAAGAGTAGCAAGAATGATTGGAGACCTCACAAAACACTCTCCCTCCAATGCAACCTGCTTTTTAGAGAGAGCATTTTGCTCAGCAAACCATGAATGTTGCTACTAAACATTGTCCATTATTATTCTGGGCCACGGTGAACAAACCAAACATAAAAACAGCCACTTCTGGTTGAAAGGCCTAGAAAACAGGAACCAAGCAGTAGACTTGGAAATGTCAACTGTTTATTCTATATTTATTGAAGATTTTATTGTTTGCTGCTGAGTCGGCAACCCTAAAAGTGAACTGGAGGTCCTTCAAGGGCAGGTGGCTGTGCAAAACCCACAGAAGGCCCCCTCTCCCGACTGCTAGTTGTGCTTAGGTAGTTTGGTCAAGTCTACGACTAGCCTTGCAAAGTCGACAAACAGCCACTGCCCCTCTATGAGTTTGGTCCCCGAAGCCAGAGGAACTGAGGCGTTCCCAGAAATCTCTGTGGATCTTAGGATCACAAGGTCCAGAGTCTTAAGCTCTCTGCTTCCCAAAGTCACAAACAGAAACTAATATTCAGCGACAATGACCAGAGAAGAAGAAAAGATATAACACTGGGACTAGGGATAGTTTTATCATCATCATCATTACTATTATTAATTTCTTAGACTACATGTCACATAATTCTCCATGTGTCAGGAGTTCTGCCTGACACATGGACACCTTAACACGGCTCACCTCGGAGAAAGGACTCAGATGGGAGGCCCTGGGTTTCAGCTAGGCCTAGCTCCACCCAAGCTTTCTGTTCCTGCCCCAGTGCTACCTGGGAGCTTTCTTTCCGAGCACAAAGCTCAGTTGGAGCTAGGCCTAGCTAAGCCTCAAGGCCTTCTAATTTAGGCCTTTCAGCTAGGGACATGACATTTAGGAGGTTGTAAGATAGGTAGTACACCCAAAACGGAGACTTAAGTTATTTGTAGTTTTGAGCCCTGCTGGATGTAGTGGTGTCCACAGAGGCTCCTTTTTCCATCCCTGAAACCATATAAGACACAAAAGGTAGTTCAGCACAATTGGGTTGATTCCCACAGGGATGGGGAACACAAACAAACTGTCAGAATACTGTGGCCCATATAGGAACGAATTTGCTCTTTGGACACGAACCAGACTGTTCTATTAGGCGTCCATTTTATAGCAGGTGTGCAGCCACAAGGTCAGCACATGTAGCTGATGCAATCCTTGAAAAGGGTCTTGGATATGATGGAGAAGACACCAGATGATGTGCCAGTGATTGGTGTTTCACACTAGATAAGTGCTGCACACCATAGTGGAATATGGAGCTTTGGATGGAGAGTTGCTGCACGAAGTGCTGTCTAGTTATTTTACTGATAAGCGTATTGTTTGCTGATTGACGTACAAAATTCTGCTATACACATTTTCTATATACACTGCTGGTGAAGGAATCTCCTGTCTCTGTGAGTCTCTTTGCTGTTGGTAGCCAACCTAACAAGGCCCACAACAAAGAGGGTTTATATACCCAAACCAAGGGCAATAGGGATGGATAGCCCTAGCCCTTCCTCTCTTGCAGTCCCTCCAAAAGCTGGCCTTGAGGCTTCTGCTACCGCTGTCTCCTCCAGTCTCAGAGCTAGGTGACAGTTGGTTCTCCTGGCCCAGATTCATGGGAACAACCTTTATCCTAATGGTGGTATTGTTTTCCCTCCATTAATGGGACCAGGGAGGTGGCTTAGGGTTAAGGTTCTTCTCTACCTCATCCCTTGACACTTCCAGTTGCACTAGCACCCAGGTCCAAGGGTGGTTCTTGTAAATGTTCTCTCCATTTCCTTACCTAGTCCCTATGAAAAAATACCCATGGTTCCATTGATGCAATCTGCCAATTACAGACTGAAAAGACCAGAATTACTTTACACCCTGGTGTATTTGCAAGTTCTCGCAGGAAGGGCAAAGGCAGGACTTCCCCAGTCCATGGACCTGCTACCCAGCTGAGTATGACAGTCAGTTGTCTGGTGCCTACTTCTTGCTCCCGTGAAACATAAGGTATTGTGGGAAATGTAGTTTTTTTTTGAGTTCCCTATATATAGCCCAATTGGCGGCAAAAATTCCCACAGTACCTGAAGCATCTCAGCAAGCACCAGGGCAGGAATTAGGTCGCAGACGGCCTACTGTCCTATTCAGCTGGATGGCAGCAACCATGGGGGCCCAGAGCAAGTATGGGAGGTGCTGGCAGGGCCACTGAAAGGGAGGTTTCCATTAAGCCAAATGAAGCACCAGTGATGAAAACATTCAGGTTTTCATTTCACTCCATGAAAGCTCAGTTCCGCAAACCGACTACAAAACACACACACACACACACACACACACACACACACACACACAGACACAGACACAGACACAGACACACACAGACACACACACACACACACACACACACACACACACTTGCCAAGGTCATGGTCCATGCTTCAGTTCTTACAGTGAGGTGCAATTTGTCCTCCCTTCAATCTTCAAAGTAGGAACCACTAACCTCAAAGCTGCCTTATACTGGGGCGGACTGCCGATCTATCTGGACCTCTGCTGTTGATAAGGCTCATTTCATAGCATCTTCCCCAGTTTCAGGCCAGAAAATTTCCTCCCACATTCTGAGGATTTAAACAGGGACATTTCACGTGCTAGGCCTATGCTCAGCCACCAAGCTATGGCCTTTCAAAGGGACATTTCTCAGCATGAAGCTGAGTGAGCTGTCCGTTTCATTAAATAGGATATAGTTACACAGGTTTATTTCAGCAGTCACATTTTTCAGCACTATTTTACTGTTATTTCTTGTCCTTTGCTGCCACCAGGCGACCATCTTCATTCAATGCACACAGTTATTGTGTGATTGATTCTTAACATTTCTCACATTCCTTAGCATATGTCCATTCCTGTACCTTATCAAACTTGAATTAATGACACCTGTTTAGTTTTTTATTTTTGCCACATGGGATTTCTTGCTGGAGTTTTGTCACTGGGAAAAAATCTGTGAGTTCTCAGAAGGATCCATTACAGCTGAGGTACTCATCTCTAGGAAATCCCATCATAAAGCAAAAGAAATATATTTTCCCCTTGAAGTCTAGCTTACCATTGAATTAGCTTAATTTATGTAAATCTGTCAAGCAACTTAATGGCCAAATGGAAAAAGAAAAATGAACTCTAAGTAGCCTCTTCCCACATCCTTCATACTGATCTTTCCTGATGTTCACCTTATGCTCCTGTGTAATTAATAAAAATTAAAAGGTAGTAATTGTACAATTAGCTGTTTAAATAATGTTCTTTGGTATTTTGAAAAAAGCCTCCATTGAATTCATTTTTATTTTTTTAACATGACTGTTTCTTGGTCAGTTCACTAAGAGACGTTTATTGGCAGGAATTGTAATAAAATTGTATTGATTGTGGGTTTAATCTGGAACAATTCAAATGAAACATTCAATATGTCCTCCTTTTTGTCATTCTATGTCCTCCTTTTGGTACCAATGTATCTGGCAACCCTACTCATAGATATTCTTTGTTTTGTGATTGGTCACTGGAAGTAAACATGAGCTGAATTTACCATTCTGATTGCTGAGGTACTCATCTCTAGGAAATCCCATCATGAAGCAAAACAAATGTATTTTCCCCTTAAAATCCAGCTTAACAGTGAATTAGCTTAGTTTATGTAAATCTGCCAGGCAACTTAATGGCCATATGGAAAAAGAAAAATGAACACTAAGTAGCCTCTTTCCACTTCTTTCAAACAGATCTTTCTTAATGTTCACCTTACGCTCCCGTCAGAAGCTGATCCTGCAGTGTCCCAGAGATTGTCCGAACCACAAAAACTGTGGGAAGAGCACTACAATATACAATATAGTGGACATATGTGCAAGAGGACAATTGTTTGTGCACCCTTAGGACTAAAAAAACACATTGCAGTGTGTCTACAAAAACATGTTGCAGTGTGTCTATGAAATAGCCATCCATTATGAGGCATGGATTTAATTCCATCTTGGAATTAAAATGTCAGCAGTCAACAGTATAAAGGAAATGGCAGTGAAAATGAGACTGCCCAGAACTTCAAAATAA